GCAGTTGGAATGATTTTTTTAAATTTATTTAGCGTTTTCCTGGAAAGATCACAACAAAATCTATGAGTACTCCAATTTCAGGTTTTTTCACGCATTCTTCTGAGAGTGAAAACTCACTGAATTTGGAGTATTTTTTAAGTTGGCCCACACATGGCTGAGTGGCAAAAATGGAAAATGTGTCGAATCGGCGCGACAATCATTTCTCGGTCTAAATGATTTTTTCAAAATGTTCTAATATTTTTCCTAGAAAGAACACGACCTCATATATGGATTCTCAAAATTTCAGATTTTTCTACGGGTTCCTCCGAGCACAGAAAATCGCCAAAGGTGCCTCTTGCAAAACGCCTGTTTCGTTGCGCCTGACGACCCTGTTTTGAGAAGACGGGCCTCAACGCCTGGGCCTGAGGGCCCTTACCCCATCCCCACTTCTTTTTGGGGTCCAAATCCCACCCGAGGACCAGTCCTTCCTTTTTCCAAAAGTCCCAGTTCTACCAGAGCTAGCTGTAGGTAGTCCGCAATTTTGGCAAGGACCGGTTTCCCAATTGTTTTTACCCCCTAAGAACCCACTTTGGGTCCTGGTAGCCCGCCGCCAAAAATGCGACACCTTGACACAGACGCCGAACCCAGTAGACTGCAATTGGAATGATTTTTTTTTTTTTATGTAGCATTTTTCCTGGAAAGATCACAACAAAATCTACGAGTACTCCAATTTTCAGGTTTTTTCACGCATTCTTTTGAGCGCGAAAACTCACTGAATTTGGAGTACTTTTTTAGTTGGCCCAAGCATGGTTGAGTGGCAAAAATGGAAAATGTGTTGAATCGGCGTGACGATTATTTCGCAGTCTAAATGACTTTTTGTAAATGTTCTATTATTATTTATGGAAAGAACACAACCTCATCTATGGATTTTCAAAATTTCAGATTTTTGTGCATGTTCTTCTGAGCACAGAAAATCGCTAAAGTTGCCTCTGGCAAAACGCTTGTTTCGTTGTGCCTGACCAGGGCTCAATACCTGGGCCTGAGGGCCCTTTTGCAGTTCACATGCCCTGACTACTTTTTGGGGTCCGCTTCTACCCGAGGACCGGTCCAATGCCCCCCACTTCTTTTGGGGTTCACTTCTACCCGAGGACTGGTCCTTCGTTTTTCCAAAAGTCCCGGTTCTACCAGAGCTAGCTGTAGGTAGTCCGCAATTTTGGCAAGGACCGGTCCCCCAAATTTTTTTGCCCCCTAAGAACCCACTTTGCGTCCTGGTCGCCCGCCGCCAAAAATGCGACACCTTGACACAGACGCGGAAGCTGACTATACCAAAGCCTAAGGGTTGCGAACTGTTCCGATCCAGCCAAATGACCCACAGCATAATAGCACGACCAACTTGGGCCACATATCCCCATCCCTCTGTTGTACTCCTCGGCTGTGGGACTGCGCCCAAGATGGCCCACCGTTCCCCTGTGAGGCCCGCTTGCCCAACGAATCTCCCCCAATTCTTCTCCCACC